AACATGTGAGTGATGGAGTCTGGTGACATGGGCTGTTCGGAATCATAGAATCACAGAATATCAGGATTGGAAGGGACCTCAGGAGGTATCTAGTCCAACCCCCTGCTCAAAGCAGGACCAACCCCCAACTAAATCATCCTAGCCAGGGCTTTGTCAAACCTGACCTTAAAAACCCCTAAGGAAGGAGATTCCACCACCTCCCTAGATAACCCATTTAACTGCTTCACCACACTCCTGGTGAAAAAGTTTTTCCTAATATCCAACCTAAACCTCCCCCACTGCAACTTGAGACCTTTACTCCTTGTTCTGTCATCTGTCACCACTGAAAACAGTCTAAATCTATCCTCTTTGGAACCTCCCTTCGGGCAGTTGAAAGCAGCTATCAAATCCCCCCTCATTCTTCTCTACTGCAGACTAAATAATCCCAATTCCCTCAGCCTCTCCTTATAAGTCATGTGCTCCAGCCCCCTAATAATTTTTGTTGCCCTCCGCTGGATGCTTTCCAATTTTTCCACATCCTTCTTGTAGTGTGGGGCCCAAAACTGGACACAGTCTCCAGATGAGGCCTCACCAATGCTGAATAGAGGGGAATGATCACGTCCCTCGATCTCATAGACTCATAGACTTTAAGGTCAGAAGGGACCATTATGATCATCTAGTCTGACCTCCCACATGATGCAGGCCACAAAGCCGTCCCAACCCTTACCCTTGACTCTGCTGTTGAAGTCCCCAAATCCTGTGGTTTAGAGATTTCAATTAGCAGAGAATCCTCCTGCCAGCGATCCCTGCCCCATGTTGCGGAGGAAGGCGAAAAACCTCCAGGGCCTCTGCCAATCTACCCTGGAGGAAAATTCCTTCCCGACCCCAAATATGGCGATCAGTAAAACCCCGAGCATGTAGGCAAGATTCTCCAGCCAGACTCTCATTGGCCATTATACTATTTACCAGCGATGGCATGGTGTTCCTTTGACGAAACTCACGTTATCCCATTAAACCATTCCCTCCATAAACTTATCTAGCTTAATCTTAAAGCCAGACAGGTCTGTCGCCCCCACCATTTCCCTCGGAAGGCTGTTCCAGTATTTCACCCCTCTGACGGTCAGAAACCTTCGTCTAATTTCAAGCCTAAACTTCCCCACTGCCAGTTTATATCTGCTGGCAATGCCCCTACTTATACAACCCAAAATGCTGTTAGCCTTCTTGGCAACAAGGGCACACTGTTGACTCATATCCAGCTTCTCGTCCACTGTAACCCTTAGGTTCTTGAGACACAGAGACTCCTTTCCCATCTGCAGCAGCCACAAACTCTGTTCCGAGCAGGCTCCTTGGATCTCTGAGTCCATCCCTCCTAAGTCACGAGGCCTGATTCTTATTTTTCACATTCTCCTTTTCTAGAGGAATTAGAGTCTGTTGGTCCTAATTTCCCCAGCCTTCCCCGCACTGGGGGATGTTCATAACCCCACCACCACCATTACACCAGACTTGCTAGATTCCCTAATGCCTCCTAACATCTACTGCTCCTGACAACGTGCATTCAATATCATCCTTGCTCCCTCCTATTCCTCACTCCGCTGAACCCCACCAGCCCACGCTTGCCAGTCCCGGCTTCCCTAGCACTCTCCTTCTCTCTGGGCCTCTGAGATCAGCAAGAAGCATTTGCAGGGGACCTTCCATTGTGGCCAGAGCCTTCACTTTCCGGGACATGGAGTTACTGACTCTGGGTTCTAGGAGCCCCTTTGTCTGCCTGGTGTGTGTTCCTGACGGAGGTGGAGGTAGTTAAATCCTCCATAAGCAGAGTGCCCGGCACCTTTGAGTACCTGTTGAACTGGCTCTGGGATTTTAATTCTTTAAAACGGGCTAGGGTTAAAATAATGGAATATTATCTTGTGACAAATATCTCCTATGTTTTCTTTCCCCCGAGCAGAGTTCCCAGTTGACAGACCCGATGTGAACTCCCAGCTGGAACGAGGGGAAGAGCCGTTGGTCCTAGATCACCAGGGCTCAGAGGAAAGAGAGATCCTGAAATGTACCTACACTGGTGAGGAATCATTAAACAAACTCAAAAACTGTCAGTGCCTGAAGGAAACAGCTGGGATTCCCTACAGAGACCTTGGAAGCTCTCCATGTCCAGCAGGTGTCATATGCTCGCAGCCAATACCACTCATGGCTTCCTATCCATCCTGACTGACCTTGCAGTAGCTCCCTCCATGACCTCCCTTCTCCCATGAGTTTTTGGTGGGATGTGGAGGCAGAATTGATCCTCTCCTGACTCCCCGTGGGGAAAAGTTTGGGGAAATTCAGTTCCTGATTTTGTTCTGTCTCTCCAGCACAGACTTTGGTTTGCTCTCTCTTTTCCATTCCTGTTTCTGAGGTTTCCCTCTCTATCCCAGCAGGTGATGGGACGGTGAGTGAGATGAGGGAGCAGAATTCTAAAGAGGAAGATACTGAACAAGTGGAACTGCACAGGGCATCATCACAAAGAGACAAAGGGAATGTGCCTGGGAATTGTGAGCAGGGAGAAGGTTATGGGCATCAGCAGAGGCCAGAGCAGCAGCTGGGAAACCAGACAGAGGAAAAAGTGGGTAAATCCATTAATTATTGGGAAACTCACAAAGATGTCAAGGGAACCCCAGCCCAGCAGAGAATCCTCAGGGGAAAGAGAAACAACCCAGGCACTGAGTGTGGGGAAAACATCAGTAGATGCTCAGACCTTATTAACCATGAGAGAATCCACACGGGAGAGAAACCCTATGAATGCTGTGAGTGTGGGAAAAACTTCACTCAGCGCTCAGCCCTTATTAGACATCAAAGAATCCACATGGAAGAGAGCCCCTATGGATGCTGTGAGTGTGGGAAAAATTTTTCTGATAGCTCATCTCTTATTCAACATCAGAGAATTCACACGGGAGAGAGACCCTATGAATGCTGTGAGTGCAGGAAAAGCTTCGCTCAGAGATCAACCCTTATGACACATCAGAGAATCCACACAGGAGGGCGGCCCTATGAATGCTGTGAGTGTGGGAAAAGCTTCACTCAGAGATCAACCCTTATTCAACATCAGAGAATCCACACAGGGGAGAGACCCTATGAATGCTGTGAGTGTGAGAAAAGCTTCACTCAGAGATCAACCCTTATTACACATCAGAGAATCCACACAGGAGGGCGGCCCTATCAATGCTGTGAGTGTGGGAAAAGCTTCACGCAGAGATCAACCCTTATTCACCATCAGAGAATCCACACGGGGGAGAGACCCTACGAATGCTGTGAGTGTGGAAAAAACTTCACTAACAGCTCAGCCCTTATTACACATCAGAGAATTCACACAGGAGAGAGGCCCTATAAATGCTGTGAGTGCAGGAAAATCTTCACTAACAGCTCAGCCCTTATTAAGCATCAGAGAATCCACACAGGGGAGCGACCCTATGAATGCTGTGAGTGTGGGAAAAGTTTCACTCAGAGCTCAGACCTTCTTATACATAAGAGAATCCACACAGGAGAAAGACCCTATAAATGCAGTGACTGTGGGAAAAACTTCACGAAGAGATCAGTCCTTATTGCGCATCAGAGAATCCACACGGGGGAGAGACCCTATGAATGCTGTGAGTGTGGGAAAAGCTTCACTCAGAGCTCTGACCTTATTATACATGAAAGAATCCACACAGGAGAAAGACCCTATAAATGCAGCGAGTGCAGGAAAAGCTTCACTAAGAGCTCCGTTCTTATTGCACATCAGAGAATCCACATGGGGGAGAGATTCCATGAAAGTTGTGAGTGTGGGAAAAGCTTCACTGATAGATCAGCCCTTATTAGACATCAGAGAATCCACAAAAGAGATCACCCCTATGAATGCTGTGAGTGTGGGAAAAACTTCACACGTAACTCAGCCCTTATCATACATCAGAGAATCCACATGGGTGTGAAACCCTATGAATGCTGGGAGTGTGGGAAAAGCTTCCATCAGAGCTCACACTTTATTTACCATCAGCGAATCTGCAAGGGAAATAAGCACCATGAAGACCTTGTCTAGGGTTGTTAAACATTACTTTTCCCCCTGTAATACTTTTGCTAATTCCCACAGAGTGACTTTTAAGGCTATTTTGTACCTTTGGCTTCACTGTGGTCATTCAACTCCCCCAGGTGAGTTGCCCACCTCTGACTTTTGCAGTTCACTCTTCTTTTGGGAGAATCCTGTTGTCTTTTCTATCTACTCCATTTTCCTATGAATAATGGGAGTGTGCATCTCTCCTTCCAGGAATGTCCTTCAGACACAGGTGGGGAACAGAAGGGTGACCTCAACTAATTACATTGAGGGAAAATATACTAGGGTCTCATCTCCACTACGATTTTCATGGGATTAGCCAGCTGGAGGTAGCTGTCCTGATGTAAAAACGCAACTATTCTTGCAGTAAAGACATTGCTGTGTACAGAGGCTGGGATTATCTAACATGTTTCCTCACGACCTGACCTCACCTCCCACACTTTTCCTGATCTAAACAACCCTGGAGCATCACAACAAAGCAACTGTTAGAGCCACTGAGACCCGATTGTCATATTTACAAGTGTTCTGATGTTGCTCAGAGTTGGGATGAACAGCAATTATTTTTGGTACCCTTCTTCTCATTTAAAATGGAATTAATTATCACATGGAGCAGGGGCAGGGGGGAAAGTATCTGTTCAGCTTCTGTGATGCCTGAAGGAGATAGGATGAGTCGGAGAGATTCCCTCTTCCCCCATCATCCCATCACTGTTACTCTCTGCCTGAGCCCTGCAAACTTTTATCTTCTTCCCCATTCAGCCCTCTGTCATGCTGTCTAGAACGGCTCACCAACGTGAGTGCCTACCTCAGGGCAGACTGTCAAAAAAGGGCCAGAAACGCTAAACTGGTCTGTGTTCTACAATTAGACTTCACCAAACCAATAACAAATATGAATTCCTGGATCACTATAACAGTCTTACCACGGAGTCACAGACAGGCCCCTTAGACTCTCCAGTCCCTCTTGCCATCCAGACAAACTGGACTTAGTGATAAATGGTCACTTACACCAAAAATCACACTGCAATCAGGCACAGGCGCCGGCTCTGCCTCAGGCCCTGCCCCCACCTGACCCCTTCCCCCAGGCCTCTACCCCCATCCTGCCTCATCCCACCCCTGCTCCACCCCAGACCCAGGCCCCGCCCCCGCCCTGCCTTTTCCTGCCCCTCCTCTACCCCCATCCTGCCTCTTTCTGCCCAGTTCCACCCCCTCCCCTGAGCACACCTTGGCCCTGCTCCTCCCCCCTCCCTCCAGCGCCTCCTGCACACCGCGGAACAGCTGGTCATGGTTGGCAGAAGGCGCTTAGAGAGAGGGGGAGGAGTTGATTGGCAGAGCCACCGGCAGATGGGAAGTGCGAGGGGGAAGAGGGGGAGCTGGCTGCCAGTGGGTGCTGAGCATCAACTAATTTTTTTCCATGGGTGTTCCAGCCCTGGACCTCCCACGGAGTCAGCACTTATGAACTCAGGTCCCTTCCAGTATGAAGAGACCAATCGTTTACCCCAGATCAATTGGTATTCTAAATCCTACACCAAAGACAACGCTTGTAGGCAGTCCTGTAAGAAACTATCTAAAGATTTATTAACTAGGAAAAAAGAACAAGAGAGTTACTTACTGGTTAAAGCAAGCAAACGTAAACACACAAATGAGTTACCATCTAAATCCTAAGGGTCACAAAGGTGTAGCGATCTGTCTGTTCAAAAACAACAAGGAGTCTGGTGGCACCTTAAAGACTAACAGATTTATTTGGGCATAAGCTTTCGTGAGTTAAAACCTCACTTCTTCGGATGCATAGAGTCTATGCATCCGAAGAAGTGAGGTTTTAACTCACGAAAGCTTATGCCCAAATAAATCTGTTAGTCTTTAAGGTGCCACCAGACTCCTTGTTGTTTTTGTAGATACAGACTAACACGGCTACCCCCTGATACCTGTCTGTTCAAAGTGTCTTTTTGGGCAGACCCAGGAGATTAAAGGGGGACGTGATAGTGGTCTTCAGATACTTGAAAGGCTGCTATAACAAAGATGGAGAAAAGTTCTCTCTGGCCCCAGAGGGCAGGAGAATAGGCATTAGGTTCAAACTACAGCATAGGAGATTTAGATTAAATTTCAGAAAAAACTTCCTAACTGTAAGAACAGTAGGAAAATGGAATGGACTGCCTAGGGAAGTCATAGAAGCTCCTTCACTGGAAGTTTTCAGAAGGAGGCTGGAGAGCCATCTGTCTTGGGTGATTTAAATTTAATTAATCCTATCTCCTAGAACTGGAAGGGACCTGATTTCACCCCAGATTCCTAAGTAGCCCTTTCAAGGATTGAACTCACAACTCTGGGGTTTAGCAAGCCAATGCTCAAACCACTGAGCTAACCCTCTCCCCAACACAGCCTACATTTTGGCAGAGGGTCAGACTAGACGATCCTTGCGGTCCCTTCTAACCCTATGGTTCTATGATCCTTTTGTTGGACAGGAGATAACACATCCTATGGCAAACCAGTATTTCACACTTGCTAATGTTTCTCTCCTGACTGTGGCAGTTTGCATTTGACGAGCCAAAACTTTAACAACTCCAAGAGCAAACACTCAAATACTACCTCACAACATGGGATACAGACATTATAAGTGAGATTAACACCTGCAGCAATATACAAGCATTTCATAGGGTCTGAACACTAAACACCTTCTTATAAAACCAATACCTGTTTTGAGCAAAACTAACACACAGGTGAACTGGTCTGGTCTCCAGCTATGCATTTGTGAGTTCTTAGCTAATACCTGCAACCTGGACAAGAGCTGGCCACTGGCTTGCCAGGATCACACCCTCCCTCTCCCAAAGTGGCACATGATGCAGTGTTCTCAGCTCTGTTTGCCTGAGATCACTCTTTGTTTTCTTTGATCCTAAATCAGACTCATTGGGGCTCATTGAGATAGTGTCATGGACCACCATGGGAATTTGGATGGATCCCAGACACAGTGTGATCATTCTGAGTTTAAATCCCAGTTTCCATCTTTTGTTAGAGCGACTTCTGGGCTTTCTCCTGCTGAAATGGGAAGATTGGCTGTTTTTTTCCAGGTATGATATCAGAGAACAGGATGTGAATCTGCTGTCCTGATTCTGAGTCATGAGCTGTAATCTGCTCTGGAATTTTACTTTATATGAAACTGAAAGTGTCTTATACCACTCAGTGATGTGGGTCTTCCTCTTTCCTGAAGGCTGTTTGGTTACGTACCTGGATATTAGTTTTGTTTGACAGAATGTAGCTCAGATTTATTGGGGACTTTGGGACAAATAACTATCTGTTAAAAATAGTCACTTCTTATTTTATTTTTGCTTTCCTCCCACCCTTTCATGATGACATGGAGAAATTTGTAATGCACTTCAGGCAACAGAGGAGAATACTCTAAGGCTTGGTCTACACTAACCCCCCAAATCGAACTAAGGTACGCAACTTCAGCTACGTGAATAACGTAGCTGAAGTTCGAAGTACCTTAGTTCGATCTTACCTCGGTCCACACGCGGCAGGCAGGCTCCCCCGTCGACTCCACGGTACTCCTCTCGTCTAGCTGGAGTACCGCAGTCGACGGCGAGCACTTCCGGGTTTGACTTATCGTGTCCAGACAAGACGCGATAAGTTGAACCCAGAAGT